AACCTTGTGTTTATGCCTCCAATTATTAAGTAACTGATATTTAAAATACCAATGATTGTAGATGAATGACTAATTCCTCTAACTCAGTATTGAGAATTAAATTGTCATAGCTCAAAAAGACTGATGCAAACGTTGTGTTAATTTATTGTTGTTGTTGAGCCTAAACATGTATTTTTAGACTACACTATGTCTGCAGTAAAACAGGTTTTGCTTGCTGTAATCGTTTCCTACAGTTCATACCAGACAGTAAGAGATTCTTCACTAATGAGCTTCCAAAGTGAAATTCACACCGTTTAAAAAATACATTTCAAAGTGTGTATGAGAAGTTAATAAGAGTCATCCACAGTCTGAAATAATCAAATAACATGCATATGCTCCAAAGTCACTTTTTCCTTCCTAAGCTGTAGTGCAAAGATAGCAACAGCAAGTTGGAATTTTTGTACCAAAAAGACAGCCCCTTACTGGATACTCACTTGATAGGATTCACTCAAACAGCTGAAGCCTCATATTAGGTTCAGATAAGCGTTGCAATGTATCTATATACAGAAGGAAGACTGGATTTAGTCTCTTATCACTTGCACTAGAAAAGCATCAAGAAGGGCCTTTTGTGATAAACAGGAGAAATGTCTCCAGCAAGTCAAGACTATTTTTTTTTTTCTTTTTGTGACTCTCAAGCAAAAATACACATCTTATTTTTGTTGTTCTGGTGAGAAAAGGTTTGAATTTAGCCAACTGTGCATAAAAAAATAAAAAATAAAACGTTTTGAGCTGTTCATCTGTTGTCAGGTGAGACTTTAAAGCACAACAATCACATAGTGTGACCAGCACACAGACACTGCTGTGACCAGGGACTATAAAAGACCACCTCAAAATGCAACTTTAGTCAAATGACATGATGCCACGTATGATAAGAGAAAGACGAGGACGGGCTGTTGGTCTGCTGGATGCTGTCACGTCGGTCACAGCTGTGGCCAGACGACTCCAGCATTTGTTGTTTCAGACGAATGGGTGGACGTGTCTGACCTGAACATGATCCTCATAAATGTCCACCAACTTCACCAAGCCCTTCAGGAACAGTGGGACAGCATCAACAACCTCGGTGTCTCTGTGTGTCGCAGATGTATGACTTGCTACTGACTTGAGATTTCTGGTCTGTGACCCCCACTCTCCATCTGCACATTATCATTTCCAATATAATGCCTATTTTGTTGTTTCATGATGTCCAGTGTTGTAGAGACTTCACGTATCAGAACATCAAATACTTAAAGTCATCCTCAAATCATACCCTACGATTAAAGAAGGAGAAAAACAACTGTCACTGAAATAAGTTGAAATTGACAAAAGTAATAATGTATAAAAAATTAATTAAAATCATGACATTGCTTTTGAATTGTGGTTCAACAGAGATACTAAGAAAAAACAAACAAACAAACAAAAAAACACACAAGCAAACAAGCATGATGGGACCAGCAAACTAATATTTAGTTGAACAACCCTTTGAGCCAATCACTGCAATCAAGTGTTTTCTGTAACTCTCAGTCAGACTTCTGCACCTGTTGACAGGTATTTTGATTTTGGTCCACTGCTCATCAACAAAGTGCTCTAATCTGTCTGGGACAATTTTGTTTTTTTAAATGATTCTTTTCAACCACAATTCAAAAGCATCGTCTTATTTCACTAAAATATAATTTAGCAAATTTTTATTTATTATTACTTTTTTCAGTTTGCAGTTATTTGAGTGACTATTGTGAACTTTGCCTTTTCTTCATTGGAAGGGTATGAATACATTTGTACTGTATGCCCCTATGTTAGAAACAATGTTTAATAAAATATTACATGCTGCGTTTATATTTTTGTGTAGAATACATTTGGGTATCTGACTGTTGTTTTAGGACAGGCTTTAATCCATGATTTCATACACATTTAAACAAAGGTTTCTAGTAAGTCTGTAGGTAAAATGCTATTGAAACAATAAATGGATTTCAGTCCAGATTTTGGTAAATAAAGTATCTATAAGAGAGCAGGGGTTATCATCTGAGGGATTTTTCACTACCTGGCAACCCACACATTGCTTTAAGCTTATCTATAAAGCACAATAACATCATTAGTTAGGAGTTATAGAGCCTTTCATAATGGTAACTTGTTAGAAAATGATTATCCCAATGAAATATCTCAACAGTTAAGCCTATGTGGGGAGGCCATTAGTAGCCCGCTTTTAAAACAACATTAAGCTGAAACGAAATATCATTAAAATCCATTTAACATCTCCACAGTGAGTGATTGCGGCCTGTATAAACGGAGAAAATCCAGCCACTACATAAGACAATTTCTTATTACAAAAGCGGTAAACAATTAAAAATGGCTGCTTGATGAGTCAACTAACGGTTCAGAGCGCAGAGGAGCAATTATCCGTCGGAAGGAAGTGCTGCGATGTTTTCTTAGACTATAAAAAGTTCCCACGATTCCATTCATGCCTTCTTCGCATACCAGTCATTCAGATGTTTCTTGCCTATTGCGCATGCAGAGTTCACATGCACAGTAGGTGCTTTTCTCACCCATCCTCTGCCTGATGTCATGATCCAACTACAACTCCAAGTAATGACTTCTTTTCTTTATCTGACAGCCACACAGAGAAATCAACATTGTCAAAGTGACTCCTCGGAGACTTCTTAAACCTCCGACGTGTCAATATAGATTGCTCACACGCTAACAAATGACACGGTTTATGACACACTAACAAATTACCTGGAATCAGTGGGTAGTATCCTGACGTTTAACTTGCCATTTACAATGTGGACAAACTGCAATCACAACATTTTTTAGTCCAAGGGAGGAACACGCCCACATGAACGCGTCCTCAGAGATCCTAGCGCCACTGTGACTTACCTCGAGGACCTGTGCTTAACCATTAAAAGCTGGGATTTCACGAGCTGGTAAGAGCAGATTTCTTGGTGTATTTTAGTGCAGGGTGGTGATAAACACATTCACTGACAGTTAATGCAACTTTTAGTTTGAAGAAAATGTTCATACGTGTAGGTTTGTTGTCATTATTGGCATTTGAAACTTCTGGTTAACACATCTTTTCCTTGATGGTGAGAGATTACTGGTCTGTGACAAAAAAATGTTTCTTGTGTTCTTAGAGACAGGAAGACTAAAGATTACAAATGATGGCCGGTAAATATATATATATAAAAAAAAGAAGCAAACAATCATTTAAAAAAAAGTGACCGATCACCTCTGTTGCAGCTATCTTTCCTTAAATGTTCTCATGTCTCTGTAGATCACGGAGAACTCTGTGATGTGAAGGAAGCCACCTACTGCATGAATGGAGGGACATGCTATAAAGTATCTTCTGTGGATTCACTCCTCTGTGTGTAAGTTTAACAAAAAACAAAAAAAACTGTGTTTGATGAAAGAATGAGTCTTCAGGGAACTTTAAACAGAAATATATGAACACTTTACAACAGGGTAACATTGTGAGAAAATTTCCCTAACTTCTCGAATGTCACTTTAGGTGCAGTGAAAATTACAAAGGCAGCAGATGCGAGCACTTCCAGCTCTTTAGCTCTTCCCCGAATGCAAAGGAGGCAGGGTTAATTGCAGCCGTGGTCGTCGTTGCCCTCCTCATCTTAGTGGTGATGGCAGTTGTTATCTACTACGTACGCAAGTAAGTACATTTTGAATTTAGCATTGCCAGTGTGTTAGGATGTGTTTTACATGTTATAGAGTCTTGGCATTACTGCACCACAGCCTGAATCTATTCTCTTAAAGCTAATAATCAGCACTTGTGTCCTCGCACAGGATGCTGAAAGCCAGGAAACAGAGCCAACAGAACAACCACCAAGAGTATTGGAGAGTAAAACCAAGAGTATGATCTTTCCTTTCTGATGTACATTTGTTTACTCTTTTGTTTTTTTCTCTGTGTGTCAGATGGGATGATAAAATAATTCTAATAAGTGCCACTTGTCTTGTTGGATGTTGACCGTTCTGGATGTGACTATGAAAGACAGACAGAGAAAAACCGCCGCCTTGACCTTAAAAGTAGGGAAGACTTGATAGCTGATTAACCCCCCCTCATGAGATGTCTAGATTCCACGCTGATCGCTCCGGAAAGGTGTAATTCATTAACACAAACACAAACAGGGTGTGAAACAAGTGTGAGTGGGTGAGAATTGAATCACACCTTGTGGAGTCGCTTTTTTTTTTTTGTAACACAGCTATGAAGTTGGCATTGTTGCTACTGGAGTTAAATTACATTTCAATCTATGTGCTGTGTCTGAAATATATTTACAAAGTGTAGTTGAACCATGTAAATAAAATATATGGAATGATCGGACTGTGTGATTTCTGGTTCGTCGTTCTTTAACCTCTGCTGTTCTTCCGTAACCTCAACTTTTAGCTTTTTCTTTACTCAATCCGGAATCCGGTTTTAACCCCTGAACCATAATTGCCCCTGAAAGTCGTCCCAACTGGTCCCACTTTTCAACAACGTCTTCAACTCTGCAGCTTTTCAAACTGAAATTAGCTCTCACAAATCTGGACATGCTACAACACACGCACCACAGCAAACTTAGTGATGGAGTGTGTGTGGGAGTCTGTATAATTAGCTTATCCCAAGCCATTCATCAGCTCCCTTAAATCTAAAAACAGGGGCACAGGAGATCCCAGGAGTCGTATAATGAGAGTGGTGCCATCAAATTTGCTTCAATTCAGTGAGCTGAGGAAGACAATTCAAACTTGTTGGGCTGCTTTTTCAATAGTTTGTTAGTTTTCCACATCTCCTAACAACCAACTGTGGAGGGAGAAGCTAAATTTGGACTGCTGACAGCCGAGGTACTCTGTAAAATACTCGTCAGCGTTAATGACGGGCTGCAAACTCATTCAAACAGAAAAAGTCAACTTCAGGTGGAAGTCAGTTTAAAACACGAGGATAAAAGTAATCTCCGAAGTCAGCTCAGCTCTGACTGCATTGTGAAAGCGTCGTCCTAGGTTTCACTTCTGTTTATTGAGTGACAGTATGAGGTCAACACATCTTTTTTTTTTCCCCCAAAGCATGTCATGATGCTATGAGGAAAAACCTGGGCTTGGCAAACGTGAACCATTTGGAGCTATACCATGTTGCTTTAAATATCCATCTACTTCTATCTGCTGTGTATGAAGCGATTTAACTTCTCTCATATGTAGAAATATATATCTAAAAAGCAGAGGATTGTTGTGTTAGCTTTTAAGGCGAGAAATGCATCACTTTCTCTATAAAACTTAAAACTGAAATTCTTAGTCGATGACTTTTTGTTAGAAATGCAGTAAACTGCCTCCACCTAGTGGCAGAATGGCCTCCCTACCTTATGTTGTAACTGAAAGAAACAAAACTAAGCTTGCATGATGTTCATAAAATACATGTTAAAACTTTATTTCATGTCCTAAATCATACGTCACACAATTTTAAAAGCAGTATCAAAATTACACAAGATCACAACATTTATCCGAAATGTTTCTTTCTAAAAATGTAAACTCACAAATGTCTGTAAACAACTTACTCTTTCACACTTCTGGCTTTGTCAAACTCATGCGCAATTTTCAGTGCTGTGCTGTTGAGTCCAACAGACTGCATGTTCACGATGATGGTGACCACCACTCCCCGTGGAGGGACGGGGGTCTGAGCTTGATCCGTGTCCTCGCTGGGCAGCACCAAGAGGACGCTGCTGGCCCCCACGGCGCCTCCTGTGTGCGACACGTAGTGCCTGCGCTTCCTGCACTGGCCGTACTTCTGCAGTTTCTCCACCACCAGCCATCCTTGGGCGTATAGTCCATCCTTATCCCAGCTGGCCTCCGTCCTGTCGACTGGTGCCCACAGTTCAATAGCCGTTTTGGGTTTGAGGAAGCCAGGCAGCAGGCCCTCAGTGTCCTTCAGGTGGGCCGCCTGGTAGCTGTAGAGCAGAGCGTTACCGAACAGCAGCAGGTCTCCCACGGTGGAAAGGAAGCCGCCTCCTGCCCACTTATAGGAGTTGTCTACATAGGGGCAATTCACAACACGTCCTCTCTTGTTGTGGTGATAAAATCTGTGGAGGAGCAACAAAAGGTAACATGAACTCACTGCTGGATTTTGTCATGTCGAGCAATCAAAAACACCCTCAAAGGAACAAATCTGTCTGACACTGATACAGCTAACCTCTGCTCAACTGTGGCTTTTTACAGGATTTTGGACATAAACTTGGCATTCGTGATTACCTGGCACGGTGGTAAATAATAGGCTCATTCTCTTCAGGCACTGTATTGAGCATTCCCAGCTCACGAAACATGTCCGTCATGACATCCAGGAAACGTTGACCAGCAGCTCGCTCCATCGCAGCACTGAGCAGCGTGAAGGCGTGAGTGGAGTACAGGAAAGTTGTGCCTGCGTGTAGCAAAACATGTTAATCAGGACAAGATCCTAGAAACATTGTCATATTTGAATGGTTTAGTAGGAAAACACAATATGTGCTTTACCGGGTTTGAAAATGAGCGGGTCGTCTTTAAAAAGGTCCAAGGCCTGAATGACACTTTCATAGTTGTCCTTCAAGTAGTACTCCTCATGCTCAAACTCTTTCTTCTTCTGAGCCGGATTCGCGTCTTTGCCTTTGGCGTTCTGATCTGCTGTGGTTTTATGTTTTTTTTCTGATGAGCTCTTTTCATCCTCTTTCTCTTTAACAGGTGGTTTTAAAAGGCGCTTAGCTTTCTCCTTGTCCTCTTTCACTTTGTTTGCATCCTTCTCATAATGCCGTATGCCGCTTAGGTGGGACAGAATCATACGAGAGGTTATCGTGACCTGAAAAACAAAAACAGAATACATAAACTAAATGTAAGCTGAACATAAAAATGAGCAAGACAGAGTTGCTAAGATGAAAGAATTGTTGCATTAAGTTCAATGACTTACATCTTGTCCATTGAACTGTTTCTGGGGAAACTCGGGGACATAAGTCTGCACTGGGACGTCCAGATCGAGCTTCCCCTGCTCACACAGTCGTGCAGCAGCTGCGGATGTGAGGGGCTTGCTGATGCTCGCGATTCGCATGATTGTTTCTGGAGTGCATGGGACACGGTTCTCCAAGTCGGCATAACCGATCCCTGAGTTACATAAAGAATTTTGATGAATCACATAAGAATGTGAAGGTTTCTTTTTTCTGAGGAATACTTAAAAATTCCACTTGAGGCATTTCAATGACAAGATAACAATGCTAGAGACTCACAATCCCTGCATTAGTCAAAGAAATCTAAATATATAAACTGTATGTACTGACACCGTTGCTGTTTTAATATGTTGTTTTTCATGAAAAAGACCAAAGCCAAGGATACGGAATCGCTCTTCACAGATCCCTAACATTTGTTCTGTGTTAAATATTGTAACTCTTGTATGTGATGAAAACATGATTATAAATGACATCAATGCATTTCTGCTCTGCAACTTCTTTTTTACTCTTCTGCAGATCTACAAACAACTACTGACATGTAAGCCTATAGCAGCAGATACATTTAATAGCCTCGTTCGCTCAACCTTGATTTAAAGTTGAAATATATCGAGGCAGGAACCATATAACTAGAGCTCCAACAGGTAAATGATTGATTAGTTGCTAGCTTTTGAACCGTCTATGATTTTGATAAATGATTCATCAGTTTGAGCATTTTTTTACTGCTGCTGTATGCCAGTGGTGGTGTTTGTATTTAAGCGCTGTGATCAAGTCTAAATAAGAGAACCTGACATTTGAGAGAGCAAAAATGACACTTTGTCAAACAGCAAAGTGAATTTTCTTTTTAAAGGTCAAAAATCTCAGAATCCAGCCTCTTGTGTTTGAATATTTTCTTGTTTCTTTGCTCCTCCATGACAGTGAACTGAATATCTTTGGGTTGTGGACAAAATATGACATGAGGACGTCATCAATGACTAAAACATAAATACGTGTTTTTGTTTTTTTTTTGCCAAAAGTGACATGACATAAACGAACGAACATCACAAAATTCAGGACTATTCATTGATGTTGTGCCAAAATTGATGATACTGTCAATCTTGCAACCTTTAGGAACTTTTAGGTAAACTGACATAACTTCTTGTAGAAATGTTCACTTCTCAAGTTGTCAAAAACTTAAGAATCTTAATCTTAGGAACATTATTCCAATGAAAACATGTGCAAAACAAGTTAATATTGGACCACTTGAGGCACAAAAAAAAAATTAACAGAAGTGGTAACACTTGTGGATGAATGAACTATAATGCACTGAGCTGATCCACTATTAAAACAAACGTCCAGTGGTCCAGCCAAACTATTGCAACACCTTCAGTGAACATGCCAGCCACCAACCTTCACACCAGACCTGAGCTCCATCCACTGAGACCCCAACAACCAGCCCAGGAGCCCCGACCTCAGCCTGACAACACACAGACAACACTCAGCTGATACAGGTGGCAATAAAGTTACACTAAATAAAGAAGTAGCTCCATAGATTGAGACATAGAAGCTTGTAAATAAACCACCCAGCAGCTCACAGGCCTACCTCGGTGCCTACCTGTATCCGCTCCACAAGGTCTCTGCTGACTTTAATGGCACCGCTGTATCGATCGCTCCTCTCCGCTCCTCTAACTTTATCATCACAGGAGCTGTTGGCGGTGTCAGAGCTGTATTTCAGTCCGGCAGCTAAAGCGATCCCCACGCCGGCGCCACATATCCAAATGATTGACTTTGACCGGTGTTTGGAAGAAGCCGAACCTCCAACAAATCGACGTTTCTGCATAAAAACAGCGTCCGACTGCCGCTGCTGCTGCTGCCGGGTTCGAGCTCCGGTCAGCAGAGGAGACTCCCGCAGGGTTAGAAAGGTGCATTTGGTACAAAAACGATGAGACAAAAACAGCCGTGACATTGTTAGAAATTCTGCTCCTTTTGTTGACAACAGCTGGTCTGTGATGTGCGGCTGTAACTTGCTTACTTCCTGTTTGCGTCCTCGAACTAGACCCGATTAATCAAATCACGATTCGGAAAACATCGAGCAGGAGGAAAGTTCAGCAAGAAGCGTTGCAGCTGTGGTTGGGTTAAAATAGTAATTTCTACCCACATTAATCATAAACCATATGTGTGCTATGTGTAAACCTAGTCGCAAACAACTTACAATTAAACCACAAAAACAGAAACTGAACAATATAACATAATCTGACTTGCTTTAGCTAAAACAACACTTATTCCACTATGTTAAAAATAATAATAAAAAGAATGACTAGCATTTAATTAAATATTACATTCTATATTACTAGTTTTGCTCACTATACAGGGAAGCTAAGAAATAAAGTTGAATCTATCTATCTATCTATCTATCTATCTATCTATCTATCTATCTATCTATCTTTGTTAATTTGCATAAAGACAAACCATCATTTCTCCAATTAAATACAATTAATTTAAAACTCAATTCTGTGTCATATAGTTTGAGACACCTTGATAAACTGCAATTAAGAAAATGCACCATGTAAGCAAAATGAAAATAACAAACGAAAGACAGAAAACTAGATTTTAAAACAGACCAAATCTACAAGAGCTGAGAGACTGGACCCACTTTGGTTGATATTGCACTTTGGTTCTTAAAATTCCCGAACAAATTTGTAATTAATCAAATTACACTGATCGATTCACATTGAAAGCGGGGTTGTGGGGCATCAAGGCAGTTACCCAGATGTCAACCCAATGTTACAGCTTGTTACTTATCATGGGCTTGACAGGTATTAAACAGTGCTGGTAAAGTTGTATGTGTATATTTTACACTTAGGGCCTTAAATAGGATGGAGTGATTGATTTTAAACAACAATTTTAAACACATTTGTTTAAAAGCAAAAAAAGACACACATACACACCCAGACACTTTTGGGGGGCATTTCTCCTACTACTTCTCAGGATGTCAACCAAATCATAAAAACTCTGAATTTTTGTGCAGTTCCAGTCAGAATAACCCCCACTCCTTCTTGTTTTCCCCTCTGTAAAACACACACACACGCTTATCTGCACACTTGTGCAACAGATTTCTGTTTGAGGTCATGCCAACTATTTAACTTCTGACAGCACATGAAGACATTTCTTTGGTCAAATTAAATGCCTCCATGACTAAATAATACTGCATTGTTTAACTTTCATTGCAGCTACTGAGTGAAGTAAGACAGTCTGCAAAATGTATAAGTCACGGCAGAGTCATAGTTTACCATAAAGTCCTATATGATCAATCTTTCGATATTAAAATGATTAATTTCCACTGGTGCCACATTGTTTAGCTGTGATCAAACCACAGTGATGTTCTCCAGCAGTCCTGAGCGAGCTGCAGTGAACCAAAGAAACACATGACAATGTTTTTCCTCAGCTCAGACTCAATCTGAAGGTCAGGGACAACTGAGCCAAAAGTAATGCAATAAAACTTCAAAATGAACAGGTCTCTACTTGTTCTGAACATTTAACACCTTCTGCAGATCTGTGAGAAAGCTACAATCTATAAATGTTCTTTTCCTTTGCACTGCATCATGCTTTATTTCCTCTTCCCCAAACCTATGAATACCTTTCACTTAGGTCACCTTTGTGGTGAACAAAAAGGCTATTAAAGCACCACAAACAAAGTTAGAAAACTTTCAAAACGTGCTTTTATTTATATTCAGAATTTGTACATTTCAGATATGATAAACACTCGAAACATCTACATTAAAACAATGCACAACCAGTTGACTGAAAACATACTCCACAGACAAGATGAAAAAATGTTGGACCGCGAATTTTTAACAAAATTAGACAGAATATACTGTAAGGAGTTAGCATCTTTTGTCATTGCTTAACAATACAGTAGCACCAGTATACACACTGACAGGCATAGCCAATGTATAATTAGACTTGTGAGGTTTTTTATTATTATTATTTTGAGGGAGGTGGCAGGCTAACGTATATTTTTAGACATAGTTTGTAATATGCATAATAATGAGGTTTTTCTAAGTGCAAAATTTCTTCACTTTGTCCTTTGGTATGTGCATAATCAGGTAGAATGGAAAGTACCGGATCAGCTTCAACACAGATGTAGAAAACTATTTTTGTAACCAGTGGCACATGTCATTTCACCAGATGACTTGTCAGAAACAAAATGCAAAAAAAAACTAACAAAAAAAAAAAATCTATCTCAAGGATTGCAAAAGGCAGACATAAAAACTGGCTTGCACAAATAATTGTGTTTCTCAGTTTAGGCTTCATCAAAGGGAATGGTTAAGCTTTGCTTCCCTGTAGCTTTGCTCCTTGGTTGAGTTCCGCTGAAGGCAGGACGGTGCAATAAGAATAGCATCTGGCTGTTTGTTCTCCACCATTGGCAAGGTACGAGAAGAGGGGGTTTACGGTAAGCAAGGTGCAAGTACAAAAAGCCAAAACCACAGTGTGCGTGGGGTCAGACTGTGCGTTCACAAATTATTCAGTTCCATTAGAGTCTGGTCCAGCATCTGGTGCATATCGAGGTTCTCTTCTTTAGCGTGTGACAGTTTCTCTGTTAGGACATCAAATGAAGACATTTTAATCTCACACAAGCCAGCACACGCGAGTCAGGTGGTTAGCTTGCATTAATAATCAAGCCGGCTACATCATTCAGGTCAGTTGTTACATTTGAGTGCTTTTTAACTGGACCTACACAGCACTGACACGAAACATAACACACTGAATGAACAAGCTCATATTATGATATGCAAGCAACCATGCAAATACAACAAAATTCTCACAGATATAAATAAACAGAACAACAACCTACAGAAAAAACGAGTGACGTTATAGTATCGATGTTATGATGCGAAACTGAGGCTACAAAATTAAATGTTTAAGTTAATCCCTGATTTTCACAGTTTTAAATACACCAACAGCAACACAAGTTTCAGGCAGTGCAGGCATCGTACACGGACAACGCAAACGGAGGAGCTTTGGATCTTACACCGGATCAGATTGTCTCACGTATGTTAAAAACAAAAACCGTAACAAACAGATAAAACATTCACACAAGTTAGTCCTCATTCAAGGCCACACGTAGTTCATTATTGAGAAGGCGGTTTTTCTCGAGTTGCCGGTAGAGGTGATCTTTGCAGTCAGAAAGCAAGATGAAAAACAGAGAGAGGACAGGAAATCAGAGGAAATTAGAAAAAGAAAGAGTTGCAATGCCTTTTGACACCTACCTTCTCTAGAATAGGTCACCGAAGACACTTTAAATCTTCGTAACACACACTGAAAATATCTGAGTGGCTTTTAAATCACATGATCAAAAAAAAAGTGTTTTAATGTTCCTGTTTTTTAAGTTTTTGGCAGTTGCTGCAATGTGTAAAGTAAGCCAGGACAGTGTGTGGAGTAAACACAGAGGACAGAGGGTGAGTTGATTAAATCCAGAAAAAGGAACCACGGCATTAACACTTGATAGTTAACGAAAAACTTTAAACTGGATAATGAGCAAATAGAAAAAATAATGGATTCTATCACAGCTGTTTCTGTCTGTACAGTCGTAAGAACCTCTAAAATATCTCAGCATATGCTTAAGTGTCACTGATGAGCGTCGGCCAATCAGCAGTCTGAGATTGGTAAAGATGTTAAAGATGCGGCTCAACCACAGTTCTGAAATCTCAAATCACACACACACACACACCAGAAAGTGCTTACTTCTCTTTGTATTTCTGTGTCTGAATTTATTGCAATGACTGTAATAAAACAGACTCAGAATGTGTCACTGTATATTTATTTCAATATATGACAGGATACTGTGTATCATACAAAGCCCGTTTGTCATAATCACTGATATCCTCCAGTTTTTCCAGCACCAGATGAGGCTCAACAACACTTACATACTGTTCTGTATTCCACCCATCACTCCACTTCACCACAATCTTCCTGATCACAATCAGCACTAATTCCCACCTGTTCTCACATCCTTCCTATGAGCTACTCCTGTCACAATACTACATGTTGAAAGGTGCTCGCATCACTCAGTCTCAAATGTTAAGAGAAAAAAAAAGCTCGGCTCAGCTTTCAGTCAAGCACCCTAAGTTGCTCTAGGTTCCTGTGCTTAAAGCACTACTGTGATATTTCTAATATCTCAGCTTCACAGAACAATATTTGAAGAAATTAAAAAAAAAAAAAAGAACATCAAAAAGAATGAGTTAGTGGGAGCTAATGGTTTGATGAGATGCAGAAACAAAATCAGTAAGATAACTTAAAATGAAGGCTTCCTGGTTTTATTAGAGCCACTTGAAAATAAATAGAAATGAAAAAGAAATGAAAAAAAAGGACAGAGTAAAGAGATACAGCTTACATAGAAGGAAGGACGTTTATTTTTTACACAACGCAGAATGATTCTAGGATTCTGTACAAGTGATGGGATGCAATTAACGATGACATGAGGATGAAAACATGAGGAGGAAAGGAAAGCCAAGACAGAGAGGGAAGGGGAAATGGAGAGAAGGCTGGAGAGAGCAGACAGATGCTGCTCAGCCGGCAGGAGGCGTCTTTGATGAGGTGTAAACAATTTATCTGTGTGGAAGAGAAGAAGTACAGTGAACCAGAGGGGTCGGCGTGGGACCTGCGGAAATCTGAGATGCGCACCACAATACACCAGAACCACAGGAGTCACGGCACGGCACTACAAAATCCACAATGCACAATGGAAATGCATTGTGTGCGTCGAACACACTCGCAAACACAAATTGGAGGTCGGAGCAACTCCTCTGATTACATCAAGACCTTCCCGCTAACACAAAGCGCGGCGCTGGACGGACACACAGACGCGGTGCTCCGCTTTAATCTCCAACAGAACCACCAGACACTTAATTTAACAAAACCGGGAGCTCGGCCCCAGTGATGCTAAATTATGACAGCTAACCTTCAGCCGGTATGACGACACATCAAAGGGGGATCTCACAAACACACATGGGGCCTTTCTTCTGGGCAGAAGTAGACCATATTAGTAGAAGAGGAAAAGGGAAACACTGGACATAACCTTGAGTTACAGCAAGTGAAACAGATTCATTGAAATGCTTTCCTGAATACAGACTTTGACATTTCAACAGACAACCCGCATGCTCAGGATGTCAAAACATCTCGGGAGGATAATCTCACAAAATGAACATTGATTACTTTTCACATAAAAAGTAATGCAACGCCTAATTAAGTCAGCTAAAAATGTGAACAGAAACCACAACTTCAGTCCTGTTTACAGCTTTGACACCAATGATACCGATACAAATGGCATACAGTATCATCACATAGCCACACTAATGGAGATGTATGAGTGGATGGCACTTAGAGTGAGTTGTAATTATTGCAAGTGGGCTACAATTACACAGACACGGAGTACCACAATGTCTGTTTTAAAACATTCGGCTTGGAGACTATATAAAAACATAGCTGCGCAAGTATGTGAAGTGCATGTAGAGATTAAAGAGATGAATGTAATAGTTGTAGTGTGTAAAAGTATGTATGGGGGACGAAAAGGAGGCGAGGCAGCTGGTGTGCAGGGAAGAGGAGGCTGCTGGCGGAACAAGCAGGTACGGCAAGTTGAAAATTACATGGAAGTCATGTCGTTGAGGGCGTGGTCCAGCTCCTCGCTGATGGCCTTGTACTTCAGTTTCTGGGCATACAACTCATCTATTGGTGGGCCAGGGGTGAAGTGAGTGGGGGAGCGGTAGGTGAAGTGAAAGAGAGCAAAGGTGGAGGAGCACGTGACAAGGAGGTGAAAGGTGAAGCATCCGGAACCATAGGCAAGGCAGGGGAGGAAGACAGAGACAGAGAGAGAGACGACAGAAGAGTTGAAAACAAAGGGAAAAGAGGAAAACAAGAGTTATACCAGAAAATGATAGAATGGAAATGCAACAAAGGTAAGGGTAAATTCCTCAGCAGCATCAAGAAACGGGCCGTATTTCACTGCCATATGGCTCTCAGCGTTTATCTCTCACTATGGCTCCTTGAAAACTCAGTAATCACCTAAGCCGGATAGTCTCTCCTACCTCGGAACTCAAAAACAAACCAACTAGATTAAATAGAGAGCGGTTAAGAGTCATCAAAACAGATGAGCGGTGCTGTCTGAAAAAAGAGCCGTGGTAAAAAAATTAAGCAGAATATAGTTCAGGAGGAAAGCCAAGAATGTGCTCAAGAGATTTTATAAAAGCACTTACCCACATAGCATCACTGACACAATAAACATTTCAAAATGACCAGAGTTACATTCTGGGTTCAGTGGTGAAAAAAACATACCTTCCAAGTCATCAATGGTCTTCTCAAGCTTGGCTACTGATCTCTCAGCGAACTCAGCACGAGTCTCAGCCTGCATTCCAGAGACACATTTATGTCAGTCCAACAGTCACAGTGTGATACAAAACTGGCGACTTGTATAAATTATCCCAGATTCAGGGTGCGACCCCAGATAAGGCCTTGTGAAAATTTACCTCCTTCAGCTTATCAGTGAGGACCTTGATCTCCTCCTCATACTTGTCCTCCTTCTGTGAGTACTGTGGGCCAAAAACAACAACAAGGAGTCAAAACTACGGGCACAGAGTCAAACGCTGGAAGTCAATGTGTATTAAAACTGATGTCACACATGTTTTACAGCATTTACAGCATGAAATAAAACTGAAGTGAACAGATGTGACTCCCCAGGCTCCCTTGTTCTCCATCCATCAAGTCTGCTGAGGGGTTTGACAGCATGCACTCGCCCAGAGGGTCGCACTTACCTTCTCAGCCTGGGCCTCCAGTGACTTCAGGTTGTTGGTCACAGTTTTCAACTCTTCCTCAAGCTCAGAGCATTTGCTGGTGTTTTAGACAAGGGGATGAAGTCGCCAAGGACAAGAAAGAGGGAGTTGGAGGAAAAGGAGGGAAAACAAGGAAGGACAGAACCAGAGGTGGAAAACACAAAACAGGTCGAGGGAAAAGCAGAAAGAAGGGGGGGAGAGGAAACAAAACAAATAAGAACTACAGGGAATAAACACGGAAGGAACCCAAAGTGCCTTAAAAGTGCCTTAACAGAGCAGGAATGTGAGAATAGCTCAATTCAAAGAGGAATGTGTTAGAGTGAGATCAATAATTTAGGTAATGACATTCCAGCATTCGCTTCTCTTAAATGTAAGGTATTATTCCTGCACAGCCCCTGCCATGTTAGGCCCGAAACAGTCTCGTGTGACCAGAATAAAGAAGCGTAAAAGAAGGAAAAGAACAAGCACGGCAAGCGAAGCAGAGGCAGTGAGAAGAGCCATTCAAAGATAAAAAGTGTGTGTTAGTTTCTGTTTGTAGTACCTGTGTTACTGTGGATTTTAGTGATTTCATGCTTTGCTCCAAAACCCTTAGCTCATCCTCCGCTCTTCGAACGCGCCTGTTAGTGGGTGTGGCGCACGTGTGCGAGCCAGAACCATTCAAACCACGATGAGCATGCAAATAATCAGCACATACGGTGAGAACACAGGGCGCAGTTCAAATGGAAACATGTCCTATACTTGAAATGTGTATTAATCGCTCAAAGCTTTTAGAATGTTTGCACGTGCAAGTGTAAATGCGTACAAGTTAAACTTCTCACCCTTCTGACAGCTCAGCGCGCTCCTCTGTACGCTCGAGATCACCCTCAATGATGACCAGCTTACGGGCGACCTTTAGGTGCAGCGCAACAAAGTGTTACTCCTAAACAAACACTTTACGAGTGTGACACAGTTAAGATTATGTCTGAGCTTTTCATCTAAGACAACTCGAATGTGCCGGCAATTCTAACTTCTAGCCTACGATGTTATTTACAAAAACATTGACCTATATAGTCAAGTGTCTATATACCTCCTTGTATATATTTATTGGTAACAAATACATTAACAAAGGCTTATTTTTGCTTTAAACAAATGTTCATAGGCTACAGAAACTATGTAAAGGCAGATGTTGGACTAATAATTCAAAAGCATTGCTACAATTACACCAATAAGGGTAAAAACGCTGTACTGTGGACATACTGAAGTTCCATAAAATACCAGATTATTATGTTGTTAAATGAATAACTACAATTTAGAAATCTCTAAGTGCGACAGAGTCTGTGACAGAAGCCCTGTCTGCAGTAAATAAATCTGCACGGTTGCTGCTGCCAAATAGTTGTGTGGCGGCCGCCAGCTGCTGAAGAACTCGCCTCCTCATATTTGCGGTCAGCCTCCTCAGCGATGTGTTTGGCCTCTTTCAGCTGGATCTCCTGCAGCTCCATCTTCTCCTCGTCCTTCATGGCCCTGTTCTCAATGACCTTCATGCCTCTGTGTGACGGAACAAACAAGTCAGGAGATGTTAGGAATCACGAGTGGAGATCTGACAGACTCCCTGAGGACACATATGTCCGGTGAACAGTAACAATGGCTGGTAAATCTTTAATTTAGTCTTACAGCGAATGGCTAATGATAGGAAAGAGGCAGAGATGCTACTTGTACCCCACACAAAGGGGTGGAATGTAGTCGCATGGCTTATTTATCCTCTGCCACCTGGTCTCTTCAGGAAGAGAATGAGGGTCAAACGACAAAGACCAGAGGTTTGACCCACCTCTCGCTCTCATCAGCAGCCTTCTCAGCCTCCTCCAGCTTTTGCAGAGCCGTGGCAAGACGCTCCTGAGCACGATCCAACTCCTCCTCAACCAGCTGGATACGTCTGTTCAGGGAAGCGACATCTCCCTCAGCCTAAGAGAGGAAGAACAGCACGTCAGGAAAATCTGGAGATCACCGTTTTTAACGCACGACCTGGAAACACACAACTACACACAGATTGTAAGTCAGCCCAGAGAAAGAAGAATATATCAATGTTTTGATTAGGGTGTCTTAGCTCAGATATTGTTTAACGTCCGGTGGGAGAGCGCAATCATGCTTATTATAAAGTGTTTCTATGTGGCACCTGTTGGGAAAAGCCCTCCCAGCAGACTTCTCACTGACTATGTATAATGATAATGATAATATCCCAGACTGACAGAAGGTTGAATACTGTGCCTCATTACTGGGCCCCTGAGAGAACATTAACAAGGCCTGAGTCAAAGGGCCTGACAGAATTACTGAATAGCGAAAACGACTAATCACATGCAACCACAGAGAAGGCTCCCTGGGAAGTTTACAACTCTGTGAGACATGTAAATGTAATTTAACTGGCGCACGTTTGGAGATAAAAAACGGCTGCATAATAATGTGAAATGAAAAAAGGGGCAGGCCGATTTCTATTCAAACCTGATTCCACTTCTGCTTTCTGATGACTGCTCAGCAGGTATGAGACTTGACTGTCCTGAAAATGCACAGTGAAAAGAGGATACACCTACTAGAGGTTTGTCTGACAAACAAAAGGCCCTTTTAGGCAAGTGGCTCAGATCCTTTTGTTGTGGCTCAACATCATACACTGCAAACACTAGCCTGTGCAAAAAAAAAAAGATTTCTCTCCTGGCCACATTAACTGCCGCTTTGAAGCTGTGAAAACCAATTCTCCTTATAAGGACAAGTCAAAGAGCATGAGCTCACTGTGCGCACTGGCACCTTAAATGTTGCCACAGTTTAGTTGTAACTTCCTGGTTGTAGAAAAAAACAATTTATTCAAATTGTTTGGCCCTGTGTGCTTGCAGCGGCTGCACGGTGGAATCAATGGAGGCAGAAGAGAAGCAGGTTGACAAGTGCATCTGATAAGATGCAAAGAAAACAAACTGTGGAGTGGAGCCATGACACAATGAACCACACAGGCTCAACTGTGAAGGCACCAGCGGCCTAACGTTGCCAATTACAAGCTCTTAGCAGGAGCATGGAGACTATCAGACCCTCATCTGAGACTTATGGTGGCAGCACATGGAGGGAAACGGGCTCAGCTTCAGGCTGCGTCAAGAGAAATGCCGCTACTTCCACCGCGTTATCACCCCTAACTACATGAGTTAACATAACCTCCACAGGAAAAGCCTACAAGAGCGCAATGTGTCTCCAACACGCAGGGACCGTAAACATGCTTACTTGTTCCCTGGCTTTCCTCTGCTCAAGCAACTCCTTCTGTAATCTCTCGGCTTTTTCTTCAGCACCGTCTGCCTGATCTTGCAAGGATTTGATTTTTCGTTTGACTGCATCCAACGACGTAGCTCCGGCCATTATTTACTCTGCTGCTATATTTATTTTTTTAAAAAAACAAACAAACCACCACCACACACACAGGAGCTACACTATGAGCACAGTTTCCGAGAAATTGACAAGAAACGAGATGACGTCCGTGATGGTGCTGAAGGCTGCGTAAAGACGAGGCAGCACAGTGCGCACGGTTTCTGGAGACGCACTGTGCAATGTCTGCGTTTATCCAGGAAGTAGCGCTTATTTCAAAACTGGCTCTGAAAAAAATAAGGTGTTCTGCAGGGTTGTGCAAGGATTTGCAATGTGCAAATCATCTGCAAATAAATTAATAAAAATGTGTTGGAATTGAATTGATTCAAAGTAACAATGAGTGATTAATGATAAGAACACACCCAGTCTGATGCTGCTCATGATGCTGGATGGATGGAGCTGCAGCGCCCTCTTCGGGTCGATTGTGAGCTTTACATACGTGGCAGTGAAAATATTTTAAGACTACAGGATACCCATTGAATGCACTGAATACTGTAATTACAGACTGCGTTTGAAACTTTGCAAATATCACAGAACAACACAGTCCAAAAATAAAAAAAAAGTGGGGTAAAAACAAGGCTATAAAAACACTAAGTAGTAGTTAAACTCGTTTGATTTTTCCAGTCCTGCTCCAACTTCACTGTAGGAATATTAAAATAAGAAAGACTACAGCTATTTATAGGAAACAAAGCACAAGTGTGATAGGGTAAATCACTAGACTCTGACGCTCTTTGGCCTGAGTCCCTCTTTGTGATCCAATTAAAGGATTATTACAACAGTTTTTCCCCCTGTCGGAGGGCCGCTTACTGCAACCTGATTCCTCTGGTTTGACTCTTGTCTGCTGCGCGTGAACTTGGCTGCCACCCTGATTCTGTCATTAACGGGACTCTTGTGGTGTTTATGAGGACACAAAGTGTATTTTGTCTTCTCCGGGTCACGACCTTTAAATGCCAAATCTAAATTCTTGGCATAGTTTGTCATGTAAGTCTATTTATCCAAAATAGAAGAAAACACTAGAGCAAGTATCATAATCAAAATAAATTATTTATTTAATTATCTGTAAATAAGCTGTGTTTTGTTTCTTTTATTATCCTGGGATAATTGCCCTGGGACGTTTTGATGGGAAACAGTGTTTTTCCCTGTGGTAAGCAGAGAGCGCTGCCTGCAGATGTGAGCTCTATCTTGACCATATAAAGCAGTGGGCTATATTTATCCAGGCGCTTGCTCTCTGAGCTCTTGGGAAGACTGCACATTAGGGCTGCTTCCCTTATCACTGTGAAAAAGAGCTATAAGACAGGACATATCTGGGTCTAAAGGACAAGAAATCCACGCTATACCTTTTAATTATTATTGCTCCAGAATCTAGAGGCTTCAGGAGAGGAGGGGTTGAGTTTAAAACAAGTAATGTATACTTCAGTTAAATAGAAAATTTGACTTTCTTTGGGCTGACTTGTAAGTGAATGTGCATGTGATCCTTGAAGCAACAGTTCAACAAAGACTGGATGATCAAAAAAAAGTCATTTTGGATCTTTTTCAGGATGGGCAGTGGTGCCAAATCTACCCATCCACATAAAAAGAGAACAATTTAAGGGACAGCAAATCTGATCTGCATTGAGTTCATTCTCTGCGGTGTTGAACTGTCGTTTCTCCTCAGGAGATGAGAGAATGAAGATGTGAAGAAGCGTGTTTGTGCAGGAATCGTGCCATTGTGAATCCCTTCCTTACTTACATCAGTGGCTTTCTTCTCAGCCAGCTCAAGTTTCTCCTGGGCATCTTTAAGAGCCTCAGAGTACTTGTCCAACTCATCCTCAGTTCCCTTCAGCTTCTTCTGCAGAGCTACCAAATCGTCCTCAAGCTTGAGTTTTTTTCAGTGCAGCACAGTTTCAGAGGTGATCAGCGGAGAGACGGAGGTGCGTGAGCGCGCAGAGGCGCAAGAGCGCGTACACAGAGAGACAGAGGGACACAGGACAGGACAGGACAGGGGGAAAGAGAGAAAGAAGTAAAAAGTTAGGGAAGATCATGCACTTCAGGTTCAGATACCTTGGTGGCAACTTCCTCAGCAGTCAGAAGTTTTTCCTCAGCAGTTTGGAACTCCTCAAACACTTTATCTCTTTCGTCTTCAGTTACACGCAATTTCTTTTCCATCTCTCTCATTTCGTCCTCTAACTATACATGCATGTGAAGAAATTATAAAGTTAAACAGAACATAAAATAAACATGTCATTTTTCAACCAATGTTGCTATTTCATTGACATTTTTAGCAAATTTTTCTAGACTATATTCACATCCAATTGCCTAAACAGTTAAGATGAGGATTTACATCATCCTCCTGAACAAATAAATACATTACAATATTTATATGTAAAAAAACAAATAAAAAAACCCCACACGATGGGTTACCCTTATTTTAATCCTTAATTGGGATTATCCGTAAAAAAATAATTAATCCGTCTTTAGGAGGCGATCCATTTAACTTGCAGCAGTTTTATACCGCTGCTGGTGTTCCTGCTTTTTTCTATCGATCTTTGGTGTTTTCCACAAAAGAAAAAAAAAAAACTAAAAAAATCAGCCGACCTGTTTGCTTCTGTCCTCAGCTGCTTTCTTGTCTGACTCGGCCTGCTCAGCTCTGTCCAAGGCATTCTCCTTGTCGAGCTTGAGCATCTGCATCTTCTTCTTGATGGCATCCATGGCTGCTTATTGCTGCACCAACAAAACGTCCAAATGAAAACCAAGGGGAGAGTGGGAGAGGCGCTTAGGGCGTCTGTGCCTAACTGAACGCAAAGCTGGAGTGCAGACTCTGCCTGACTCTGCCCTGTCAAATATGTACTTTCAAAGGGGGGGTGACTGGATTCCTTTGGACATCCAATACTTTTTTGGAGGAGGCGTGTGTGGGTGCTCGGGCGTTTTTTTGAGGCTCTGCTTGGCGATTCGTTCCTCGCAAACATTTGACTTTTGATACGCCTTTATATGGGGTGTGACATGTAGGCATGCTCCCACGGAAAGCCTTCCTAATGGTAGTGTAACAGAAGCCATTTAATGTGCAGAGAAGATGAAGGTGAAGAGCATTTTTATTGCATTAACACATTTTTCACTTGACACTCAGTTACTTTTTACACCGCCTTGAATTTAAAAACAGTTTGTGGAACTTGTTTTTTTATGCTCACTTTTCAGCATTTACTTAAATGGTTTCTTTCGGTGTGGCGGTATCCTCATGTTCACCCATGTCTCCTTAGACAGCCTGTAAATGGGACTACAGCCAACTGCATTAACAGTCTGATCAAGCTTTTGCCCACTTGCAGCCACTGGTGTCTCTTTATCTCAGTCTGAGAGTGTTTGGGTGGATGTTCAAGCCTAAGTTCCTCTGGGATAAGTTGTAGTGGCTCGAGGCAAAGTGTGTTGTACGAGACGAGATGCTTTCGCTAAGCCAAGCGAGCCCTAGAGGCATTGTTCACAGTCTGGGGGGCTCAACAAGTGTTTACCTGATAATGTATCGGATATCCCTCCTGTAAACTGTTGATGTGCCATGTGCCTGTGGCGGCGCAGGATGCTGGCAGGATGGGTTTTATACCTCAATTACAGTAGCTGAGTCACTCACTGGCTTGCCATTTGAGAAATGTTAACTGTTTTTTGTTTTTTTCAACTGCTAAAGCAGAACATATCATTTTATGCCGTGTGTTTATTAGCAGCTTTAATAAATCTGAAAAGGTAAGAGTGTGCTATATTCTATATGTTGTTTTTTTTTTTTTAATCTAAGCTAATTATTAGAAAAGTTAATCCCTCTGTACTGAACCCATGAAAAGTTTAAGCACACTTTACTGCTGCTGTGAATGAGGACACCCCGAGTGTCTTCCAGGCTTCACAAAGATCCTTAAGGGTATTTTTAGGATCGCCTTCCCTTTCATGCACCTGCCTTCGTCTGTAATATGGATCCGAGAAGCCGTGCCAAGACTGAGCTCTGATGGCATTAGATATGTCTCCTAAAATAATCCTGGTCTTGCTCAGGCTTTGGTCTGTTTTATAGATTATTGTTGCTACGCCTGGCAGAGTTGCTCATGATATAAAGTTAAACAGGTTGCTTAGACTCTACCCCATAAAAAATTAAAATATGACAACAAATTATTTTTTACAATTTTCTCATCGTAGGGTTTTGTTATTCTCCTGCTCATACAGGTTTTATTTTAGGACCGGATTAACAGGCACCGTAATAGAAAAAAAACATTTTGATGGTCTTGGGCCAGCCCCTGTCTTAACAGGCTGTCACTTGTATAATTGTGATTGGCAGTGAAAAACACTGGTCACAGGCTCTATGTCTGCCTGCTTTTCTCTGGCTGTGGATCAGAATCGGTAACACATGCTATTTTTTGGGATATTTTTCTCAGTTTGCATATGAGAAAAAGACAATTTAACCTCAGTAAATATATAAAGCTTGAAAGACTTCTCTTAGCCTAAAAAAGCTGCTTTACCACTTTACAGTCATTTCTTTTATTCAGTCTTAAAAGTGTGCATATGAATTTACATCATGTTCTTCAAATTTCACATGAAAGATATCCTGTATTAAATCTAGAATTGCAAATATTTCTACATTAAATACTGCACATTGATGGTATTTTACGCTGTGTGCAACTAAAAGTAAAACCCTGGTTCTTCCTGATTTGCAATTTGATCTTAATTATCCTAAACTTTCATTTAACTGGCACGCTGGATTCCCAGTGGCATTCTGGGAATGAAAATAAGCTCCACTATGATGTTTTTCTTTAACATATTGGCACTGTAAAGAATAACCCAGGGTCCAGTTGTGTTGATTGAAGTCCAGATATTATTGAAAAGCTACTTCGTTCCAAAGTACATTCCACTGGAAAATTACAGGTACTGTCACATTAAGAAGGAGCTAAAGGATATAAATTATAGTTAGGTTTTCTTTCATTTACGTATTATGAGAAAACCAAAAGCTCTTTCAATGTATAAGGCTTGAGGCTTATAAGAAAGCCACCACATCTCCACAGAGAGTTTCTTTTTCATGGTTGCTGAAGTAGAAAAAAAAAAAAGATCTAGACATATAATTTTGTGCTCTTTGGAAAAAAAAAAATCTGCTTCTCAAGCCTTTTAAAGCCTCCTAGCAGAGGAGCTGATGGAAGCATTTGATTTCATGTACATTCTGTAGCATTTCAGCTGAGACTAGACCATGAAAATACATTATATCTTAAATAGGGAACTTGTAATGCCATTATTAATTATGAGCAGATAAATATCTGGGATTTTACTCTTGCTATGCTTCCTTCTGTCACCCAGTTTGTGCAGAAAATATTGAATACATGAGTTCATTTGAGAGACAGAAATCTTAAAATTCATCCTAAAAGGAGGAAACAGTTGAGGTAACGTAATTCAATTTCAGTGAATGACAATTTCAATCCTCACAGCTTCCTCGTAAACAAACCTCCCATCAGGCAACTGTTGCCCGTTTTCAGGGCAGATCTGAGATACTCTGACACACTGGAATTCTGCATCACGATTCAGTTGTCTACATGAGGCGACAGCTGAGTGAGACAGGTGCAGCGAGGAGCAGAATTCATATTTACATCCACTATGCTATCATTATCTTTACTTTTCACTGTGCAAGAGTTTTTTATTGCAGACACGGTTATAAACAAGGTTGTAAAAAATTACGATATAGAGACTCGTATTAAAGTATGTGGTGAGTCTGAGGTCGCAGAAGTATTTATAGTGATACTGGGAGTAAATATAGATGTAAAAAGGGCAAAAAGCTGCTAGAGAAGAAGAAGTCCCTTTCACATCTTAAAGTTGATAACAACTGTGGGAAAAAAATTCTCAGGCTTTTAACGTTTTCAACTCTGCGAGCATGAGGCAGTCTTGCAGTTTGTCCTCTTGCTCCATTTAAATGACAAAGACCAGACTTTCAAAGTGCTTTAACGCTAATACAAATTCTCGGACTATAACACGGTATTAGTATCTGTCAGGCCCACAGTGACAACCCACTATGTATATGGAATGTCCGGTTCGCCTCAGACGCCGCTTTGGGAGGAGCTGAGCTTTACTTGGCTGTTGTGATGTTTGGATAAGAGGACCCTTGGGAGAGACATTTAAGGTTCAGTCATGACTTAAATGTTACTACATTAGAAAAAGTATGTGTCTATCTGTGTTTTGGCGCAGGCACGATGCCTGTCTGATGCACAGAACGGAAAATTCTTCCAGGAAAATATTCCAAACTGTCTGCTTTTTTACCAAGGCTATGTCATCTCATGTGAAGTTATAATATTCCAACATACGAATGGTTATTTTCCGATGATATTTTACTGATTGCACTAGACACAGAACGGTGGGGACATTTCGAGGGCAGCTCTTCCTCCATGTTGAGCCATGGAGTGAAACTCTGAGAAGTACAGTGCTGGCAGGCTCCTTGTCAAATACCATCTTAAGGTTTCTGCAGACATCGTCCAGATATATATATAGAGAAAACATCTTGGCTCTTTGGGACGGTACCCCTGTGATTAGATAGCTCCATGCAGGGGCATAGTCATTTAGCATAGCAAAACCGGAGAGGGGGTACTGGGAGGGTGCAACCCAAGCTGTAACCTAAGCCTGGCCCTTGCCCTACTGGCGATGGGTTTATTCACAGTAATGTTCCACTGACATATACTGGTAGTCGTAAGACCCAAACTAGTATATTAGCAAACACAGGTGGACATCTAACCACAACCTGGAGAGAGACTGAAACAGCCACAGTATTTTACTTGATGGATAGTTGCAATAAGGTTGTGACACTTTGACTCTCGTCGTTCTGTGCAGTGATAAATCTGTCGTTAAGAGTGTAAATCACACACAAGTATCCCACGGTCAGTCTTAATTCCATTAGAACCATCCATGTTTGCCTCATGAGAAACTCTACGCACAGTATGAGCTGATCAAAATTCACAATTCTCCCTACTCCCTTGGTTATTAATTTGACGAGGCGAATTCCGTAGGAATGAAGGTCAACTATTTCAGCCGCAGGTGCGCCATTGAAGATGGGCAGCTTTCTTCCACTGCCAAGATTTTACTGCAGTAAAAGTAGCTGCTGTTAAATGAAAGGATCTGTCATCTCTCAGACTGTAAAGACCTGTAATAAATCTCTTACTGGCCATGAATGGGGCACAAACTTTTTTTTAGTTTAAATGCCTGTAACAGACTTCAGGGGAAAGAGTAAGAAATATGGTCTGTGATATACTGTGATACTTCTTGAAGTAATTCTCTAAAAGCATTTTTTGGATTAGATAAATTCATCAAAGTTGAAATTCAGATTTTTCAAAGTTTAAGAGAAGATAGTTTTTCAGAATAGCCTTAGTTCCACTCTGAAAGCCTCTATGAATTACTGAGACAAAACAAGGTCAACTATGGAGAAAAAATGCCAAAAGTTAAATCTTGCAGTACTGCAAACACAAATGTGGGTAGAAGTCATAATGGAGAAATATTTGTGGCCTCTGCAGGGCTCCTCCCAGACGGTTTGTTTGTGTTCCCCCCTCAGATGGGGACGCACAGAGAGGCGAGATTGTCAGCAATATCTGATGCTGCTCAGTCAACTCTGACTAAAAGTGGGGGGAGGCTAGTGTTTGGGGGAAACTGTCCCGATTCATTTCACACTCATGTGGGATGCCATACTACAATCCTGCTGTAAAATTAAATTCTCAGAGGTCCAGACATGTCATAGCATGAATACTGGAAGAAAAAAGCCAATGTGTTGGACATTCAGCTTTACAAAGCTGTCTTCGGTAAGGCAAATAACATTTTTTGCACTTTCTGTTTACTTGTGTACAGAAGGG